AGCCTCCTGATTAGCTGGGACTACAGGCATGTACCACCACACCCAGCTAATTTTTGTATTTTTAGTAGAGACAGGGGTTTTACCATGTTGGCCAGGATGGTCTCAAACTCTTGACCTCATCATCCGCCCGCCTCAGTCTCCCGAAGTGCTGGGATTACAGGTGTGAACCACTATTCCTGGCCAGAATAAAAGATCTTTACATGGAATCATTTAGTTACATTGAAAAGTTTGCTTTCAGACGAGCCTGGCTAACATAGTGAAACCCTGTCTCTACTAAAAATACAAAATTAGCTGGGCGTGATGATGTACACCTGTAATCCCAGCTACTCTGAAGGCTGAGGCAGGAGAATCACTTGAACCCAGGAGGCAAAAGTTGCAATAAGCAGAGATAGTGCCATTGCACTCCAGCCTGGTCTGGAAGAGTGAAACTCCTGTCTCAAAAAGAAAAAAAAAGTTTACTTTTTTGTCCTTACTTTTCCCCATTTTCCCATAAATCGATGAAAATTCTACTGCAAACTTGCACCAGCCTGCCACCTAACATTAAGTTAGCCCTCCCTGCACCCTTGGTTTGGTATACTGAGCTCAAATCTAAGGGATCTGGGGGGGGCTCTGGCTCTCCCAGTTCTTAGACTTGTGGCCTCAATTTAGACTTAATAGTGCTTCAATTTCTTATGTTAAATAGGGATTTTTTTCACCTACTTAGGGCCTGGCTCACACCTGTAATCTCAGCACATTGGGAGGCTGACACCTGGCAGATATCTTGAGCTCAGGAGTTTCAGACCAGCCTGGACAACAGGGCAAAACCCTGTCTTTACAAAAAATACAAAAATTAACTGGGCATGGTGGTGCATGCCTTTAGTTCCAGCTTCTTGGGAGGCCGAGATGTGAGGATCACTTGATCCCGGGAGGCCGAGGTCACTGTGGAGTGAACCATGATGGTGCCACTGCACTCCAGCCTGAGTGGTAGAGAGAGATCCTGTCTCAAGAAACAAACCAACCAACCTACTTTGCCAGATGAATGTTAGGATGAAAAGTGATAACATATATGTTCCTAAAATAAAGTCTTTCCTCATTTATTGCTATTACCATTGATTGGAGATGTTAATTTATTTTTCAGTGTTTGATAATAAATGTCTTTACATGTAGTAAGTTTCTTGTATATAGTCGTTATATGTTTAAACATTTTAATGTATTTTATTGCTGACTTCATGGCATAGCATAAACAATGTTCATTTAAAACAATTTTGAAGTTGCGCAAGAGAAACTAATATGCAGAATATTCTGTGTAGGTATTTCCTATATATTAGATCCCCTCTAAGAAGGGTTTCTATGTAAGAATAGTAGAAATGATTTGGAAAGGTTAATAGGCTTGACAAATTTATGTTTCTTAAACTGTAAAAGTAGTTCGGTTGTCCTATGGTATATGCGTAGGACATGTACTGTAGGGATTGGTTCCAGAA